ATATTTATAAACGACTTGAGAATTGATAGGTTTTTCTATATTAGCATCAAGAAACTTATCATCATTATATAAATCATTTCTATCAATGGTATTAGCGTATAGTTCAACAGTGTTGAATACCTTGTCGAATAAGCTTGATTTAAATCATGTCTTGCACCAGATGTGTCAGCCATGATTAACAATTCTGTTATTTTATGAAACCTATGCCTTCAAATAGAATAAAACAGTTGACAATGATCGGAAACTCATTATATCTTCGAAGCAAAAAATTCTTTTCTGTTCATTGAAGTGACATAAAAAAAATAACATGCAAAAATAATGGCAACGATTGCATTGTTTATTGAAAATTCTTTAATTTCGCTCTCTCCTTTGATTTTACACATTAATTATAAATAAATAGTTTATTATTGTTACTCGAGTTTCATGATTAAGTTAATGAGAGGAATTTTATTTTGCACGAAATCGCCATAAATCTACAGCTTCTATTAATATCTATAATGTCAACAATTATCAATCTCATTCAATTTACCTTTATTGTGTATTCGATCATAGAAATTTAAATGAGCGTGGATGTGGATGCTGAAGAAGAGAAGACTCATACCCATACACCCACGCCCTGGAATTCCTCGCATGAAAAGTACTCGAAATATAGCCTGCTCCATGATGCTTGCAACATCTATAACACCATAATGGCTTATCTGTTTGAGCTGAAATTTTCAGTTTCTTCCTAATTTTGTTAGATCTACCTACTGTAGAAATATCAGCCAAATCGATGACATACATTGCGCAACGTTCTACAGAAGTCAATTGTGGCTTAGGTGCAATGCCTCATAAGTGTCGAAACCTAGTATCAAAGTTATTCTTTTGCTTTATTCAATATACTAACATGGAATCAAAAGCCTATTCATTTGCCATCAGTCCTTTATTGAAGTGATATGGCACGCCGAGTTAATAAAATCCTAGTACTCTCATGATAAAAAGTGAGAACTATGACTGTCGCTATTTGATTTTTTAAAATCCCTAATCAAATTTGTATATGACTTTGTGTCATTATGACTGATAACGTCAAATGAAGAAATGCCTTAAAATATTATCGATGCGTTGGGTGCAAAAAAGTCAATATTCCAAGAATGTCGAAATTGGATGGACGTATTGTAAATTTTTTCTGCAGTGAGAAATACTACAAAAATTAGTCGCTTTAGATCGGTTCTGAAATAATAGTAGGATTTTGAGACAAATTCATAAATTTATGCAGAATTCAAAACCATTCGCTGCGTAGTAAACATTAGTGCAGACTTCTTAAAAACGTTTCTCAATCTTTCTCGTCGTCAAGTGCAATCACACTTGCAACAACTGTCGAATTTCATTAGAAATTCAAACACGTACTATGTTTTCGAGAATTGGACAAAACTTATTTCGCCCTTGGAGACAGCATAAATAATTTTTTTGTACATTTGAAGGTTTTACTCGTCGTAGAAAGAGATGATGTTTTGCAATAATTTCACTTGCTATTTTATATGACGAGCAACACCATTGTATACAGTCTTCAGAAAATCGGAGGACACTATAGCCCAAGTTTGCTGAAATTAAAGAAAGAAATAACCTACAAACTTCTGCAATTTGTAAAAAATAGACTTCTAATGGATTACCTAATATAAGAGAAACATGCAGTCAAGATTTCCTCAAAACTATAGGAAATTTATCCAAAACTTTCTAAAATAGACGAAGTTACCTTTTCCTCACCAGTACGAACACAAGCATTTCTTAACTACACAAAGAATTTCGAAAAATTTAATATGTTAAAATACTTTTCTATTCTGGAAAAATAAAAAAAGAAACACACATTTTATAAATAAAATAATTCATATGTGAACATATCCTCTATCATAAATATATACATGTATTTACGATTAAAACTTTACATCAATTTATTTATCGAAAAAATTAAACTATACAATTTCTTTTTATAATGCAACTATCGTTGTTGCATTCGTATGACTTCTAATGATGATTCATTCAATGGTTGTAATTGTTCGTTGTCAACAATTTCCATCCATCCACTAATTTTATAATGATCTCTTAAATAATATCCTCCATCTTTAACTATCATCGTAATCTGACGAGCATAATTTCCTGACCAACGATGAAATCGATAATTTTGTTCAGCAATACAAATATAATTACTTCCAACTTGAGTTATAATGGCAATATGTCCAAAAGGTAAATCACGACAACGAGGATAAATAAGAAAAGAATCTTTTTTTGGTAATACTGAAGAACCATTAGAATGAGCTATTAATGAAAATTTTTTTTCATCAGTAACTCGTTCAATTGAAGATAGTTCATGCCAAGCATCGGCAGCTGATCCAATACTTTTAAATATACAAGTTTTTCGTAATAATAACCATCGACGAGCAAATTCAACACATTGCCATTTAAATCCCGTAAATATTCCATAACAAAAATGACGTTCAGCAGAAAAAAAATCATCATCACCATTTGAATAAGCTGCAACATTTGATGAAGCTATTCCTAATACTTGATTATAAGGAACCATTCTAACTTTAATTATTGAAATCTAAAATATATTTTAGAAAAGACAATTATTGATTTTGTTTTTATTTGCACTGCTATGCGACGATACACTTATAAAACTTTCCACATAACTAAAATCATCATCTATCATATGAATTTTTGAAAAAAAGAAACTATTCTTGTTTTGATCATTTTTAAGAATTAGGTTTTTTTTACTTACATCATCAATAGAAATGAATATATATGTAGTTAAAATCGCTTTACTTACTCTGACTACAAACTTTTTTTTGTAAGAATGCTTGCGTTAGATGTCTACATTTTATAGAAGAATTTCAAAAATAGAATGAGTCAGTAACAGAAAGAAAAAAGAAAATAACTACAGAATTTATTGACTCATACCATCGTCATCGGTGACAAGGCAAATTTTGTTTTTCTTGCTTTCTGTCGTATTTGTTCGAATAACAAAGGACGAACCAGGAGAAAAGCAAAAAAAAGATTGCCTACATAAACTCTAACAAAAGAACTTGCACAAGACTGTCAACAATATAACGAACAGTACAGAGTCATAAATCCGATGACTCAATGAGATTAAATCAAAGACGTCATGACATTATGCAATTAGTTTTTTTTAAAGAATAATTTAGTAAATTTTAATCATGATCAATGGATGCATGAATGAGATTTGTTCGTATGACAATTCTTATGTCGATATAAAGATTGTACACCTATCATATATGTCAATATCATGAAGAATATTCTAAATGGTCACGTAAAACACAACGAAAGAATTTTTTTTAGATGAGATAATATGATATACTCGGTCTTTTCAACAGATTGATGATGGATCAGTTATTTCTATATATGTTCTTCCTTGAGTATTAAAGCATAAGTATTTGAAATAAAGTACAACCAACTTGTACTATGACAAGAAGTCAAATGTTAAAATTCTTATGAAATGATCTGAACTCAAAACCTATCAATCAAATGTCTATTATTTCTCGTCAATTTGATGATGATACACAATAAATTATGAGCAATATTGAAGCATACTGTCCAAGAATCAATGGCAACATTTATAAGATTTCTTGAATTGTATGAACATGATGAAATCATTTGATATAAGAAGTCAATTCATAATTGTCTCTCGTATTTTATCTATGATAATTTTTCAAGAAATATCGAAGAACTGACAAATAGAGATTGCTTCTTAATTCGTCCAAAGTTCCATAATTGGTAACATGAAATAAATATAATACTCATGGCATTTTTTTTTGCCGTCACAGTCATATTCATCAAGAACTTTTTTAGCGTGAATATTTTGGTATGAAAACTATTGCCATGTCTACAACTGTGTCATAATCAGTGAGATATTATCTTGATGTTTCTAGAATGAATCTTATTTAAATTTGTGATTTTCTTGTTCGTTGTTTCTTTATCCGAATCCAGAATAAGAGATTAATTATCATTCGTTCCGGAATCGTACTTCAATTTAAATTGAAATATTTTAGAAATTTATAAAATTACAGCAATTCGAACGATTCTGAAAGTAACGAAAAGTTTGAAAAATAAATCTCTGTTATGTTCTTTTTTTTGAAAAGTCTAAATCTTGCTGATTTATTTTCGCTGCTATATATAAAAATACAAAAAAATTAATTTCCTACAAGAGGCCTGATCAGTCCAACGATGACGTTAATGACATCTGACTACATAATCGATGGACGTGTATTCCGAAATATTAAGATCTAGATAAGGCAACTAGATCATCTTGATTACCTGTATTATGCAAATGCACTTTTATTTTTATTTCCTGAATATATTATATTAACAAAAACTTGTTTTTTTCAGTTTCAGTATTCTCTTCGGTAGTATCTCTCAAGAGTAAACAGAAGACTGTCACAAATATATATAGATATGGCAGACATCATTTCAAATTTCTTTATAGGTTTTGCGATTTTGGCGTAGCAACATTTGCTAATGAATGTTGAAGTAAATATGGAGAAAAGTCAATCAATCCCCTCGCCCGCCAAGCAGACCGTGGCAGATTATTTCAATATGCTTTTATGGTTTTTTTTTGTACTACAGAATTTTGGACTTTCGAACCTAAAGCTTCTGAATTTTCATGAAATCTTCGGATTTTGAATCGATTTGAAACTTGCTTTCTTCCTTAGCTTGTGGCGAATCATTATGAATATAGCGAACACTTTTGTTCCTATGTAAAGTTGTTTCATTTCATCGTGTTTCACATTTTTATTTTGTAGGAATTTCCTTGCAAAACATTGGAGTATGCTATAAATGTATTAATTAGAATTAAATGTTATCGTCTTTTAGTTGAAAAACAAATGAATTAGTATTCGAAGAAAAGTACTTATCTCTAGAAGTAAGTTTCTCTGAGAAAAAAAAGCTAATGTCTATTAGTAACTACGCGCAAGAAGTAGTCGATTGCAAATGTTGACAATTGTCCGCCAGGACCATTTAAATGGTAATCAAAGCCATGTGTTGCCCAAGGTAATTCAAGCAAATAGTGTGGCACATCGTGTTGATGTAATTTAGTACAGAGACGACGACTATGTTCATAGAATACGAGCGAATCGGTAAGACCATGAAAGACAAGAGTAGGTACACTCTGTCGATTGACAAACTCGATCGGTGAACTAGCTGCATACTTGTCTGGTATTTCATAATAATCACCACCAATATATGTAGCTAATGTTTTTCGTGAGTCTATTACAAGTGGGTTGGTTGGTACCATATATCCCCAAATCATATCCGCTGGTCCATAAAAATCAATTACACCTTTGATACCCGAATGTTTAAGGGTATAAGCTGTTAGTAATGCTATCTGTGCGCCAGCCGAACGGCCGAGTAATATAAAATTATTTGTATCGATATTCAAGTCATCGGCATGTTTACACAAGTAATTTAAAGCAGCAGTTGTGTCTTCTATAGGAGCAGGACATTTCCATTGCGGAGTTAAACGATAGTTAATAGCTGCACAATGATAACCGGCTCGTGCCAGATGACTATTGAGTTCTGGTAATTGCTTACTGTTGCCACTACGCCAAGCACCACCGTGTATTATTATTAAACAAGGTCGGATGCCCGCCACAGTTGATTCATAGTAATCGAGTGTCAAAGTTGTATCGTCATAGGTTACATATGTTAATGTGCGGTAAGAAACTGTCGGTACAGCTTGTAACAGTTTACTAATGCTGAACGGTTGATCAACAATTCTTTTGTCATCAGTAATTGTGAGATTATTAATAGGTCGAAAAGCTTTTTCCAAATCAGCTGCCAAATTTTGGGCAATAAAATAGGCTCTAATAATTGGAGACAGAAACAATAATAAGACAACTAGACCAAATACACCTTCGAGCAACGTATAGGAAACTGTGTAGTAACTGATCAAGAGTAATAGGCATGTAAGTCCCGCAAAGATAATAGAATATTCACTTATAATCACAGACAGAAGCCATAAATTATGTGTAGGAGCTTTGAAGACAATAAGTAAAGCAACAAGGAAGAGCACAATGAGAGCGGCTAAATAAAACCTGAAATGAAAGAAAAACAACAGCACATGAATAATGTAAGCAAATATCACATTTTCGAATGTATCGACCTATTGGAAGATGACTTTTTTCTCTTAATAAGAAATTCACTCACTAAATAACGAAAAAATGAAATTGTTTTACATCTAGAATCGTCATCCATTTTCTTTGATCTTCGCTTATGTTACTGATGAATTTATCGATGCAACAATGCTCACCATTTTGGTCACTATAGTCTAAATCAAAATTTTTGCAAAGATTTTTAGGTCATTTTAATCGATTTTTTCAACAGATTCAAAGTTTGATTTTGAAACAAATGATTGTAACTCTTTTACAACTTACGATGTGCTGTAGATAAGAAAAACAAAAAAGAAACCAAGAAAACCAATGGTAACATAACGACTATCCATGTTGATCTGTGACAAAACGTACGACTCTCAATGATTTATACAATCTAAAAATAAAATAGACATTTAACTAGTTGTATTGGTACAAAACGGAATGGCAAATATTATAATCAAATCGTATCACTCAAGTATGTATAAATTCATGTGACAACAATGAATTGTCATTATCTACGTTTATCATGACTAATATACGTGGGTGTAAGAGTTGATTAAAAGAACATCAAAAGACACACCCATACCCACCGCTATCCCCAAACCCACACACCCAAAATTCTAGTTGAGCCCAATACTGTGTATTATTATTTTATCAATAGCTCATCTGGAATAATTTTATGTAGTAGTTGGACACAATGCTTACAGTTCTCTTCTAACTTTTGGCATAACCTAGATGAATTTGCATTGGAATGCTGTTAAATAGATCGACGAACACCTTACTCAATACAACAATATATTCATAAGAACAAATCAATATTTAAAAAATCTATAGATCTCATAGTATCGAAAGCATTCTATTTTTGACAGTTATCTAGGCATCCGAATTAAACTTGAAAGGGATTTTGGACATTGCCCCTAGACGACAACAAAGTTTTTAGGTGAATTCCGAAGTTCGTCGGACACTACTGGACTATTTCTAGATAATGCTGATAATCAATACTCGACAAAAAGGAAACTTCTGAAATTGCAGTAGATATGGACACCATTCGAAGTATTAAATGTAACTATTTATGTTACAAAAAGGTAAGCGTAACATTCTCGTGCAATCATACATCTATTTTTTTTTTGTAAAAAAGTGGTGTATTATCATGTATTTTACATTGAAATCACTGATGAAAAGAAATTTTTGTTGAAGAAAAATGATGGAACTACTGATTCATTTAAAACCTTGTAAAAATTGAGAGATTCAAATAAACAAAAAGTTCATTGAAAGTAATGTGATAATTTTGCTTTTTGTCTAAGATATGAAAATCATACGATAACTAGGTGTAAAAGTAACGAAACTATTTTAATGATATTGATTTTCTCGTCATAGTGAAATTTATGAAAATAAAAATTATGTAAGAGTATATAAAGTAACAGAACTGTTTCGTCTTTTTTTTTCGAATAATCAAATGCATGCATGTTTTTTTTATTCGATGGGTTATACTATACAATGTTTCTAATGGAAATCCAAAACAAATCGTATTTGTACAGTGCTTATACTAGCAAAGTGCAATGAAACTAGTTTTTTTTCAATCTAGAAAACGAAAAATAATGCTTGGTTTTTTTCATAATGAATATAAATTTATATTTGGAAAACAAGTAATCCGGGACGATGCATTAGAAGGTACATTGATCCACTGTTACAAAAAGATTTGACTCCAGCTTTCTTCGGATGTGAAAACTCTGGTAGCTCAATTTTCTTCAAATTTGGGCAACTCATCAAGCAACTTTCTCCGAATTTGGAGGACATTTTTTTGGATTGGCAAGCCTGCTTCGGCTTCTTTGCACCGTCCTGAAAATAAGCGATAAATAGGCAAATTATTTCATAATATGACACGCTATTTTTCAAAACAAAATGAAAGGAAAACAAAAAGTTTGTACAACAAACATAATTAGGAAGTCACAATCTACTATTACATACCGCTGGTAACGTTTAGCAAAGTGTATTGCGTATACTTTGTTTTTTTTAGCAAAGTGTACTGCGTGCACTTTGCTTTTTTGAGCAAAGTGTAAATCAAAAACAGCAGATGCCCTGTACCTAATGCTTCTGCTTAGTGCATCTGCTATTGAAAACACTGATGCTATGTCGCAAATTTCATAAGTCTGGAAACTTATTTTCTCACAAATCTGAATATACCTCAATGTCAGCAACAAACAATCTAACAATTGTCTGCTTATTGATCAGCGAGGAGTCTTCTATTGGATATTGATAATATCAATAATTAATATGACGATAGAGGTCACTGAGCATCAATCACATAAGTGCAATATGGGAATTAACTCTGATGCTGAGCACAATGATCGTTTACACTATATTAAATGGTCATTCCGTGTGCACATGAAGTTGAAGTTGAAGTTTATCGTGTATAAACACAAAGTTCGATGAAAAAGATCGATCTTTAAGATCTGAGAAAATCAAAGAAGACAAGACACATTTCCGCTTGAAAAATCTCTCATTGATTTGTTTTTCTTACGAGTCAATGCGAGTCTCATTGACGTCGTGTTTCAGAGAGACTTTATTTTCGTTCCATAGTCATTGATAACTATCAAATGGTTCTTTTATTGTTTGTTTCATTTTGTGTTGCTTGCAAATTATTTTCTTCGATTTTGAGATCCTTCACATACAAACGAACTTAAGACGGTTAGAACCCAAGGCCGGACCGCCTTGAGATTTAAAAATAGGTATCACTAATTCGACTTAATCTGGAAAAATAACTACTATTCGTTTCAGCAGAAAGAATGAATATTGCGCCGAAGAGTGAATTTGAACTATGTTTTCAGTTCCTTAAGTTGATCAGAATGAATATTTTTTATCTTAAGAAATCACCTTTTGAAAAAGGCAAAAAAAAGCACATCTAATCTCATTATGATACGGTAATACCTGGTATTTTCAAAAAAAGCACTCCATCACTCATATGTGAAAAAGTACAAAGTGATTCAATTTTATGATATGAACGTGGAGATATCCTAATTCTAAAGTACCATAAAATGCATGCACGATGTCACAGTTGGAAACGACAACTGATCTGATAAAGATCTTATACAGTGGATAATTATTCCGTGTCAGACATCTGATTTAGTAGAGTCTTTTTAATACTAAATAACGAAAATTTATTAGAGCGAATGTCGCAATGTGTCCTGTACGGATATAAAAAAAAAATTGATTTGTATCATGTAATGTCATCATATAGATTAATATTTATTAGAAATAATGCCTCCGTGTATGATATTTGAGCTTAATTTAGATATTTTAAATTAACTGAAGAGTTAATGTGCAACTAACTTAGTTAAATAAGATAAAGATATGACTAAGAATTAAAATAAAATAAAATAATAATATTATAATTGTTTAATAATAGGTGATATTAGTAAGAGAGATGGA